ACTACACAGCGCAACAACCCAGAAGACGGAAATCTTCATCTGAGTATATTCATTATAATGTACCAGATATTAATGACATGGCTTCTTAAAAACAGATACATTATACTAAATGGGATGACAATGTAGCATCATATTACAGCATGGCCGCAGATGACTGAAATTAAACATGTCGGCCCGCACATGTATCCTGCGAATGTAAGTTTAAAGTAAAGATCTTTAAACTATTTCTGTGCCACAACTTTCAGTAGTTCATTCTGTCATTGAGAATTTGAGATTTAGGTTCTCACGAAGGTGAATGTGTCGATGTTGGTCTTCTGGGTTATAGCACCATGTGGACGTGTGTGTATTTTGGCCTACCAACATTTCAGGGAAACATACTGCCTTGATCCTCAGGGCTGATATCAGGGTTCCTATGTTCAAGGAAGAATATTATATTATAATATAATAATCTTGTAACCAGATATTTGTTGTGAGTGGCGTTGTTTTGCAGATCCACGAAGTTCGTCTTCATTCTTCAGTAAGTTAGAAGGGTAATACAATTTGCAGTCATAGTCTGTAACACGGTTAAGTTGCTAACCAAGTTTAACGGCAGAAAGACACTTTACCGCGCTTGCACAGGGGCGCCACGTTTTACGTCTAATGAGCACAAGGTCGTAAGATTTCACAGTGCTCGTGCTGGCCTCCTAGGCAGTAACCTCAGACCTCATACAAACACATGCTATCACATAATGGCGAAATTCTGGTCTCGTGTTGGTTACCTGTTACCCTAAGCAGAAATCTTGTTTTCTTGTGGAAGAAAACCAGGAAGGAGGGAGTCAGAGATATTGAATGTGACAGGTCTTCTTACTCGAAATAGATGCGTTACCCTATATATACATTCACTAGGCACTATGGTTGCTGTCAAACAGATTGAGAATATTAGAGTAAGGTAATTTACTGAGGAGAATGTTTGCACCCAAGAGGGATGAAGTAACAAATGGATGGGAAGATTACATAGCGAGGAGCGTTATAATTTATACTCATCGTCAAATATTATTTGGGTAATCAGATCAAGGAAAATGCAGTGGATTGGGCCGTCTTCCGGGTTGTAGCTGGTAGAAGTTTACCATAATTTCAGAGGTCCACTCATCATCCTGATGATGGAGGCAGCAAGGACCTACGAAACGTTGGTAAACCATAAAACATATTCGTAATCACCGCCGTGACAGCCTCAAATTCTACATGTGGTACATCAATTTATTTCACATTTATATTTGATTTTTATGGCTTTTATTTTTTCAAACGTGGATGATTTATAGTTGAATATTCGCTATGGGTGGCTGGTCGCTTAGTTGACGGGCAGAGACTCGTGGATGAACTGCATAGATCCGCCCTCTGCAAAGTCAGACGCAGCATGGCCGTCACCCTTGAGCACCCACTTTGTGGTCAGCAACCCTTCCACACCCACGGGGCCTCGAGCATGAATACGAGAGGTACTGATGCCGACTTCAGCACCTGTAAGCACGAAACTGGAAGTGATGCTCCACTTATTTAGACCTTGGCATTAAATGGACTTGAGGCGCTCCTGAGGCGATCGCCCTGAAATTTCTTTACATAAAACATTTGTGCTCTTGGATTTGTGATATTTATATTTCATGCAGTGCAAGAAGTATGAGATGGGCGAGGCATGTAGAAGTTATGAGAAAAATGCATACATTTTAGTCGTGAAACTTGAAGGTAACAGATTAGGAGGTGTAGGCGTAGATGAAAGGGTAATTTTAAAACTGATGTTAAAGAAATAGCATGTGATGAACTAAATTCATCTGATGTGAAGCTTTCACGGCGGCTTTCATTAAAGTCTTCTCGGGCTATCAGTGATTAATCGCCGACGTTTCGAGGACCATCTCTGTCCTTATTTTCAAGGCTGTTGACTCACCAAGTCCAAATCTGTAGCCGTCAGCAAATCTTGAGCTAGCATTAAGGAATACGCATGCGCTGTCCACTTGAGTCTGAAAATACGTTGCTTTCTGCTCTGTGAACAAAAGGAACTTATTACTTCCCAACAGTACTGATTTCTTACTTTAATACCTCATGGCTTTGAAATTCGACTGATAACCTATTCAGATAATTGATACAGGTCTAAAATCAAAGCAGAAGTTTGAGTTTTGCTCTTAGAAGTAAGTTAAATATAGACTAAGTAAATTCTTTATACCATCTTTCGTGTTTATTTTATGATCAGTAATGAAATTTTTAAGCTTATATGTTTTATATAGGTATTAAAAAGGTTTACGATAGCATGTGCGTATGAGCCGGGATAGCTCAGTCAGTATAGTGACTAGCTACGGGCTGGACGGCCGGGGTTCGATCCCCGACAGGGGCAGAGGATTTTTCCTCTAGCCTCTGCGTCCAGACCGGCTCTGGGGCCCACCCAGCCTCCTCTACAATGGGTACCGGGGTCCTTTCCCGGGGGTAAAGCCGGCCGGGGCGTATTGCCGACCACTCACCCCCATCTAGTGCCGAGGTCAAGGAAGAGAGGAGCTATACCTCCACTCACCCCAAACGCCTACATGGCGTATAGTGGGATAAACTTTACTTTACTTTTACGATAGCATGTGCGTATGAGGAGCTAGATAAACTTTTAATAGAGCAGGTTTATACATTTTTAAAATAATTTATCTGACCTCACAAATATTCACGCACTGTCCGATATAATCGATTCTAAGTATATTGTAAGAAAAAGTTTGTTTAATATTCCTTCAAGGAGTTGCACACACAAGTTCGGGGAATTATTCCTTAATAAAGTCATTTATAGAATATAAGCTGGAATATCCGTTTTTAAAATAATGAGCTCTGAAATGATGAAATTCTTTATTTTTACGTTGCACATTTGATCCGCCCGTCAAGTATTAACCCGAAAAGGTGTTTTGGAAGCGTAATTATTATGTCTTATAAGTATTTGTATGAACCTAGTGATGTTGGGAAAACGCTACGATAATATCTGTTAGACCGCCATTGAAAATTGTGTCCAAACTCCTGCTTACGCCGTGCTGTAGCATTAATGATGTATGTTCGATTAGACCACACTCAATATGGATACATACGCAGCAAGGCAGGAATCATGTGTGAACGAAACCCCACAGGTCATTTCTGTTCATGTTTAATCTTCGTATTACGGGAGGTGGACGGTGGTGAAACCGGCTGCAACAACTGAATATCGCAACTTTTGTTGATGGCTGTCTTCTGGATTGTAGCGCCGTGTACTCTGGTGGAAATTTACCTACGTTGAACTTTTGCCCTTTCGTGAATATAGGAAATGAAAGACGAGAGTTACCATTTTGTGTCACGATGACGTCAGTGTGACCGCTGCCGTAAGTGTGGATGTGGTCCACGGCCTCCTCGAGCCCACCCACTACCTCTATAGTGCACCCAAGGCCGCTGTACTCCGTTTTGAGTGACTTCGCACGAGGCGGTCCAAACGTTAGTTGCTCTGCCAGTCTGGGGCCCGAGTAGATTGTCACCTGGCAACAAAAACCACGTTATGCACTTCGCACGGCAACGAGCATGAAGATACTGTCTTCAGGGATGTTGCGTTGTGTGGTGTAGTAGAAATTGACTGACGTTTCAGAGGTTCTTACTGCCTCCTTCATCAGGGTTTATTATTAGGACATGGTTCGGGATACGGACAAGTGACAGCTCGTGTGAAAGCGGTAATGAACGTTTGGATCCCATAAAGGACGCGGAAGTTCTTTACTAGGTAAGCGACTATTAACTTCTCAGCGGGGTCTCTGGTGCAAGCCGTTCGTTCAGCTGAAACATAATCAAGCTGGAGAAATTTAATAGGTAAACTTTCTCTTTAGGTGTCTGTAGTAGGACTAAGGTACAGATTGACGGGAGCACTGTTTTTGAGATTGAAAATGGTGACCTGAGGCCCGGCCTTGGTATTTTTAATGTCGGCTTACAGAAACCCAACAGATTCAAACAATGCAACTGAATTTTTGTTGTTGTTTAAACTTTGATTTAAATAGAATCGAAATGTTTAATTGTTCCAAATTATCGCTATCACCACAAGATGGCGGCTGCGTGGAGCAATACAAAATTGCGGACAGTCCGAACAAGGAATCTAATTAACACTGGCATTAATGGTTTCTTTTCTACTTTCGATCTAACTGGGCTTGGCGCTTTAAGTTTTAAGGGTGTGATTTAAGACTCGGGCGATGTGCTCACCCCTTCGTTCTTGAGCATAGTGCACACGTCAGTGAAGAACGACGACCCGCTCTTCACCAGGTCCTCGTGCAGGAGCAGTGTCTCCATGGCATTGCAGGCTGCCGGGTAGTCACACTTTGAGTCGCGAACTGCGAAAACGAAATGAAGCTTTATGCGCATGAATTGAAATTATTACACCAAAAAGAAAAGGCATACGAATATGTTTTTATAATTATTACTTAAATCTAATTGCTTTTCATGACTGTCCGTGCAAATATATTTTCAGGAACATCAACACTTTTACTTGAATTATTCAAAATGTACAGAGCGTCCTGACTTTTTTTTTATATTAGTTCGTTTCTCCTGAATGTTGCGTATCTACCTACAAGTCAACACGACTTTGGAATTCAAAATACGGACACCGACATTCTGACCGTTAACTGCCCGGTCCGTGGAAAGCTGAGGTGGCACAAGACTAAGGCCTCTTATACGTTTCCCTGGCACTCACTTATTTTCAAAGCTTTGGCGAGGTCTGCTTCGTTGTCCACATACACGTGGCATATGCCCTCAGCGTGACCCATGACGGGAATGTGGTGACTCTGGTCTTGAATGGAACGCACTAGCTCCGAGGAACCGCGCGGGATGATCAGGTCGATGTGACCCTCCAGTGACAGCAAGTCGCTGATCTCCTCGCGTGTCGAGACCTGAAGAAAGAAGGCGAAAATTGTGAGTTAACACTGCAAGAAATTGTAGGAGAAGCGAGAGGACACTGTGACGATGAATTGTAGCGCCGTACGGCCTGTTGGAATTTTATCAGCGTTTTGGAGGTAACTCATCGCCTTGATGTTGGAGGCAGCAAACCCCTCCGAAACGTCTCGTCGGTAAACTTGTACGAGACTAAACGGTGCTATAACCCAGGAAACAGTTGTCTTTGCCTCCATAGTGGCTTGTTTCTTTCATGCTTTTTAACTAAAAATTTGTATACATTTCTGTGCTCATGCGTGATACATGTTTAGACCGTCTGATACTCATTGCTTTAAAAAATCTAAATATTATGCTACTTTAAGAGTACAGTTATAATTGACACACACGAGGAATGGTACTAATATTTACATTATTGATATTGAAAACAAGAAAAAGTTATGAAAAGGAAAATAGATATTAGATCCGTGAACAGGATTTAAGCAGCACAAGCGTCTTTGGTGAAACTGTTGTTGAAATCTGGGGTTCTGTTGTCGGGACTGGGAGAAGGGGTTTTATCTGTCGTTAAGATGAGTCGTGTCTATGAAATAGGAGTGGAACATGTGGTGGGAAAAGGAATGAGGTAGTTGCAACCAGATACATTAAAACGGATTTAATATTATCACGATAAAATATGAAAATGTGTGTAAGTAACCGCGTTATTTGCCCCTAGGTAGAGGTCAAAGTTTAAATCATGGATTCCGAGAGCACAACTCTGTAGTCACTTACAAGAGAGATGGCGTTCCCGGCGCCCACCGCTTCTAGCGCCTGCCTTACCAGCTCCATTAGCGCTTTGTTGCTATGGGCCGCCTCACTACCTCCTTTCAGCAGCAACCCGTTGGCGGAGCTAATAGCAAGTGCGGCGACCTGAGGCACACAGAGGCACTGCGGTCAGGTTCACACCTGAAGCAGTTACGGTCGGACCGAATGAAATACTTCCAAACTGAAGAGAAGCGAAGAGGTGATTGGTTCTTGAACGTACCTTGCCGGGGATTGAGAAAACCACGGAGGTTCTGCCACAATAGCCTATGGGTCATGGTTCAAACCTGGAAAATTCCGAATATGGAACGGGAGTACTGACCAAGGAAAGAGAGTAGTGTACAATAAAGAGACAGCAGAAAGGAAGAGAGAAACAGAAGAGGTAAGAGCGAACAAGATGAAAGAAGAGAGAGAAAAGGACTGGAGGCAATAACCGAGGCTATTATTTTTACATGAGGCATCCATTTCTCAGACAGTGAAGTTAAAGTTACAAGATGTGAGGTCTTGTGGCAGATGGTGAATTGCATATCAGAGACGGTAGGGACGTTGATACTGAAAATTGTGTGAGTCAAAGACAGAGCGGCTTACACAGAATTCTTCGATCTTATAACCAACCAGTGTGTTTAAGTCGAAAGTACTGTCATGTTTACGTAAATAATGTTTAAAATCTCGGTTCTCACCTTATAGAAACACAGAACGTCTCTACAAAGCTCACCTAGTTAATGCTGTTTAAGTATATTATCGCTGTTTCTCGGGAGAATTGTACCGAACCTATAAATACACCCCGCGGATAAAATACAGACACTGAATGTTGAAGAAGGTGGTATTAATAGTCACAACTGTGCTTGAAATGGAAGCCTGCGAAATTTATAAATATATTCTAACTTTGGTCATGATTTTAACAAGACTTGCAGCATTTATCTGAGAGTTATCTTTCTTACTTTGGCAGGCGGATGAATGACTGAAGTGCTGATGCATTCGGTCAGACAGACCGTGACTATAATGCAACCAGCAACACTATTTTATGCATGATATTCATACTGTGACTTATACCTGAGGCAGACAGTCAGGCCGTGACTCGAAAATGACCAGTAACACTCCTATAGGCACTGTGACCTGCGTGAGGTCCAAACCTGGCGCCAGCCTGGTACGACGCAGAACTCTGTTCACGTTGATGTGGCTGCTTTCGGCGATCTGACGAAGACCTATGAAGTAACCACCCTGAAACTTAGTATAGCTTTTCTCATATTTCTAGAAGATTTGTGTTCGTGTGTCTTCTTCAAATCAAATTGCTTTCTTAGGTAATACCCAACATTAAAATAGTTTTCCATCTACGTAGCACTTCAGCGTGAGTTACCAATAACATTACGTTGGTACATGTTTTGGCAAGAGGGTTTCATCTACGTTGCTAAATGCGTACTTATTCTTTATATATAAGGATACACTCTATATTATAATTGCAGCAGTAAATCGGTAAATACACATTCATAAATAAGAATAATATGAACCACTAATATCACAGATGGATAAATATGGTACATTTATAACAAGATTATAAAGCTATAATTTTATGCACAAAACAGCTGGGAACGTTGCAAACTAAATAAACAAGTACGACGCACTGTAGATGACAGACTCGTGTCGAAACATGTGGGTACATAATATTCTTACTGAAGTATTGTGTGAATTAAAAACAATGTTAACATGGAGATGGCTTTCTTCTGGGTTGTTGCGGCGTGTAACTCATCGCCCTGATGATGGAGGC